ATATATATATATATATATATATATATATATATAAGTATATTTATTTATTCATTTCTGGTTATATTTGTCTATTTGCTTATTTACGCAAATAGTAAAATAAGTGAACTGATAGATGTTTTGTGAGACAAATAATTACATATGTATCTGTCAAATAAATATGTAATTATTTGTTTCACGACTAAAATTTCTGAATAATTTTTGGTTTTTTTAGTGCATATTTAATCTCTATGAAACTACATACTTGTCTTTTTCGTAGATTTATTTGCAAATTTAAGCGAAAATTATTAGTGACGATTAGAGAGAGCATTTTTTGGCTTTTATGTCAAAGTAGCTTCAAAAAATATTATAAGAAAAAACAGTAATAAAAACACTATACCTGCTATTGTGTTCACCTGTTGAGCTTTAGTTGGTAAAGCAAAAATAACGAGAATTAACAAAGAGGATAAAATGATTCTCATAACTTGAAAATAATAGGCATTTCCCGATGCTATCACATGTCTTAGGGAATGTAAAAGACCACTTAAGCAGTGATCAACTGAACAGAAATGAAATAAAATTCCTTTTTGACTACAAACAATTTTGGCCTGTACTTCAATATCATTTTTCATGATTCTGCTTTCAGCTTATTTCTTATTTCTCGTTCCGCTTTTATTGCCTTGTAAAAATGTCACCTAAAATGTCATTTGTAAAATGAAATATGTTAGCAAGTTTAGTCCTTTTTTTCCAAAAATGTTCAAAGAAAAAAATTTGTAAGCAAAATATGCATGGCAAAAGGTATACTAAGCATATGACACAGTACTTAGACTGGTTTCTGACAATCAAAAAAAATTTTTGAAACAATGCAGAAAATGTTTCTTCATTTAACAATCACAAATATGAGTTCTTACAGACACAGGCAAAACATATATACCTTCACAAAGATACACAACAACAGAGAGAATGTAAAAGTTAAATATAGAGGAAATACAATTGATTAAATAGACGAATGGTTAGCAGACTGTTGTGAATTTAAATCTAAGCATTTGTTCATCAACTTTCTGGTGAAAACAGCATAAAAAGATAGCGAAAAAAATAAGAGTTAATGTCATTTTTGTGTTGTTGGAAACAATGTTGCTAACTTCTAAAAAAATTCTTTTTCAATTATGATCTTTAATTTGATTTGGAAAGAGAAAAAAAGCTGTGTAAAAAATGATAAAGTTTTAAGCTGCAAAAACAAAAAAGCTGTTGTCCTCTCGACACACAAATAATATGATTTTTAGAACTGAACGAAAACTTAGCGTAAAAGCATTAAGTCTTCTATCGTTAAGCTTTTTCAAAAGTTATCTTTTATAAATTGTTGCAAGCTTAATTTTTTTTGGCTTTGCTGATATGATAATCTTATTATTTTGTGCTTCTGTATCAAAAGCTGATTGATCAGTTATCAATGAGTGACCACAATATTCTAGATAATTAAGCGCAGGTAAATTGAAAAAAAAAAATCTTAAATTTTTGTCGAATGTAGTTCAACAAGAATAGCAGAATACCGATCGCTTTTTGATTTTGGTATTTGAAATTCTGGAGAACTGATCAGCACAAAATTGTAAGCCAAAGATCAGAAGTTAAACTAAACTATAATATTAGGCTGCAAAAAAAAAGTGGGAGAATCTTGGAGTTTTGCATAACATTTGTACATCAGTAAAATAGACTTATTTTTTTTTTTGATGTTTTTTTTAAATATATGATTCAGCAGCCTTGATAATAGAAAAAAAAAACCACCTCGTATGTTTTTTTCACTCAGTTCCTATTCTGTTGTCATAAAAACTGCTTTGAACTAAAGTCACCATATCAGTATTCAAATAACCGTATAACAAATGCTATTTTTCAAACACTAAACACTAAAGAAAGTCTTTTTTAATTCAATATAAGTCTTTAAAAAAAAGTGTAAATCATAAAAAACCAAACAGAATGCACTGAAAATAAAAATATATGGTAGACATTGCATTAAAAAAAATTTAGCTGGTGACAACGTTGATTAAAAGCAAAAAAAAAAAAGTGTTCAGCAGACAAACTTAGACTGCTGCTGCTGCAGCTGCAGCTGCTGCCACTGCCGTCCTGCCAATTTATTACGATAGATGACTGTTTCTGTCTCCATTCCTTCCAATTCCTATTAATTAATTATTTGATACAACTAATGCAACTAAAACATTTATTGATATTTGCTTTATTCTTCTACTCCTCCATAAAAAAAAAAAAAAACATTTCTTAACCCTTCAAATCAATTTACATATTAATTATTCTTATGAATTGTTGTTAGCCGAAAACAGATTGACACATAAATTGAAAGTTCATTTTTGACAGTCAGCTTCACAAGTTTATTGAACTTTTTAAAAAAATGTTCAGACACAACAACACTCTTTTTTTTACATACTTTTTGTCTTTTTTTTTTTTTTTTTTCTAGATAATTGTTTACAGCTAATAAAATAATAGCTTATTGAAACTGTAAATAAATATCTAGCAAAATAATTAGACTCTGTAAGGAAGAGTATTGCACCTGTTGTATGAGCCGATGTTTAAAACTAGACAACAAAACTATGGGGAACTGTTTTGCTTAGAGCTTCAGTATACTAAACTAACTAAACCCTTTTTAGAATGCTTTTTGACTGCATAAATCGTTTTCCTTCTTTGCCTTGTTTAATCCTTCACTTTTTTTGTTCTTATTTCAGTCGTCTTTATTCTTGTTTTTGACTTATCTACTCACCAGTACAGTAGTAAAATGTAAAATTAAAAGCAAAAAAAGCTGATCAGTGAACAGATTTGTAATCGGTGGAGGCAATTTCAAGCTTATTCTATTATTTTCTTTCAACTTGTACTATACTTTTCGGTTTTTCTTGCAGTCTTTTCCATCACCGTCTTTATGGTCACTGTCGCCAGATTTTCCTCAACTTTTGTTTTTTTTTTTCAACCTCTGTCTCAGTATACTTCTTAATAGTTTTCTTATTTTTTAAAGACAAGTCTTTTAAAGAAATTTTAAACTTTTTCAAAAGTTTTTTTCGTCGTATTAATCATGACTTTTAGTAGGCTTCATACAAATTGATAAAATAACGTAAATTCGCAAAGCTGAAATTCTGCAAAAGTTTCTTGCAGCCCACAAAGAAACGGTTTAGCAGAAGGAAAGCATTTTTTTAGCAAGAAAGAAATTTTTTCTACTATTTTTTTGTTTTTTTTTTACAGTAAAAAATGGTAAAAGTAGAAATAGAATAAGGCACCTAAATAATACTCTTAATAATGCATTTTATCGTCTTTTTGTTTCTACATTTGTAATTTTTTTTTTTGAAGTTCAAAAAGTGGTTCCTTAATGATAAGTTTTGTAAAAAAATTTCTTCAATATCAACACAGATCACAACAGAAATGCAGTGAACAGCAGAAGCAGCTGAAGAAGGAAAAGATTATTAGTGAAAAGTATGTTTTAAGAATTCTTACAGTCACTAAATGGTAACTAATCGTGAATGGCAAAAACATTGCAGATGGAATTGGTTAAGCAATTTTAACAAAAGTAACAAAAAAGTTGGAAAAAGTGAAATGCCAAAACAACTTTTTTAACTGTATTTGAAAAAAAAAAAACAAGAAAAACAAGCGAAAAAGTAAAAATTAAAAAGAACATAAACTTTTATAATTAATCACTACAGTCGATACGGTTACAGCAGACTTTCTAATCGTTGAAAAAAAATTTGGTTAAAACTTTATTTATCATTTCGTAGTTGTAGAAAAAAGCGATTTAATTAATTTTTTTTGCTGCTTTTAAAACTATCTTTCCAGTTTTCACTCATTTGTTTTTGTTTTTTTTTTACAAAACTTGAACAATATTAAAAATTCTGCTGTCTAAAAGATGAAAATAAAAAATGTATTAATAATTATAGCATTTACTCAACAACAAAATTTATTAGATAACAAAAACAATTTTTTTTTCTCGGCCGAAACCCTAACAGTTTTTCCACAGATATGACTAAATTAAAAATTCAAGTAAATAATGGGTTGAAAAGTGAATAGTTTATTTTAAGTTTATGAGCAATCTTCTTCTTTTTTTCTTTTTTTTTATTATTGGCGAAAGCTGATAGGTATCGACCACAGAAAATTTTAATCACTTTAACTTTTCAATGTGGAATCAAAAGAGGCAGAAGAGGATGAAGAAGAAGAAAAAGGAAAAAAAAGTTGAACAAATTGTACGATAATGTCAGAAAATGCTGTTTATGCAAAGTTCTTCTCTTTTTTTTTTTCTTGGTTGTCCTATAACAGAGCTAATAACATGAGATACAGAAAAAGTTATAAATGGAACAAATGAAAAATCTGGAATAGAGTACGTATCACTGTAACTGACTACACATTCACACACTTCCACAACTGTTCACGTCGATTCACTGAAGCAAAAAGAGACACAGACGAAGATACACACTCATACAGACACAAACAACTTGTAGAATTGATAACCGGTTAATCATTTGAACCGAAACACTGAACAATCTCGTCGTATCGTTACTTTATTTTAATAACTGAAAAAAAATTCATTTTAGGCTACCCAATATTGAAAGCAAATAAGATTATTATGACAACTGAACGATATTGAGAAAAAAGTACTGTTTAAAGTTGTAATTACTTGTAAAATCTCTCAAAAACTTGCTGCAGATAACAGTAAACAATATTAGAGCATTACCAAAGCGGCTATTTAAAAATCTAAGAAAAATTAAATTTGCAGTTGGAAAGCTCATAGCATTGAAAGATTTTTTTTTTGTAAATTTGTACACTGTATTTCTCTCGCATATAGAACAGCTCCTTTACCAAAGTACTGCTCATTAATTTCCCTAACAATAGTTTCATCATCATATTTTTTGGCTAACAGTTATTTTTGACAAACCTGAACTATCTGTACTAGACCTACTAAACTTTCCACATTGTCAGCTGCCTACTAATTTTTTAAGACTTAAACTAAAGAAACTCAGTGTTTGGTAAGGCAGCAAGAACAATTACTTTGCTTAATAATCAGTGAATATATAACAAAAAAAAATTGAATTCAAAAAGTAGCAAAATAAACATATTTGAGATGTATATTAGCTTATGAACAGTTTTTTCTACCCCTATCAGGCGGGCGAATAAAGTAAATAACTAATTCACTGCGAAAAAATTAGAAACAAATAACCGGTCATATGTGGACGAAAAAGGAAAACCAAGATAAAAGAAACAATTTGGCAGCCATTATTTTTTATTCTAATTAATTTCTTTTTAACCACCTACAGTATACTCAAAAAAAGAAAAAAAGAACATTTTTAATAAAAATATATATGTTATGAGTGACAAAAAAATAAAAGTGTTCTTGCAGGAAAAAACTCTTAAAAAAATATCTTACAGTCTGGATTATCAGCAAGCTTTATTTCAGCAATCTTCCAACTGTAATAGCCTAAAGCGTTGATACCGACTGCGATGATCAGAAAAATGATAACAAATAAGGCAAAAAAACAGTGTTCCAACACAGTTGCCAGCCATTCGTATTCTGCTTCAGCGTATTTTCGTGTCTGTTTAAGATTTGCTGAAAATAATACATGATTGACCAGAATTAAAAGCAGTTTCCTTACAAGTTGTTCTTTAAAAAATATATATTTTTTAAACTGATAATTGACTTTTGTCTTCAGTATCTGGAGCCAACATATCTACCCACTGTAATTGGGCACTTTCTTAAGTGTATGTGCTTTTCACTTTTTTCAAAATTAGTTTTTTATGCCATATAATGTATTATGTACTTTCAAATGCCTAAATCCAAGAAATAATGAAATGTTTCTGAAAACCAATTGTGAACACTTTTTTTCAACTATGATACCACGTACTTATACTGCATTCCAGCTTGTGGTATACCTAATTAAAACTGCACTACTTGCCCAAGACATTTATTAAAAATAGACTTTTATCAGCCAGATCTTACACCATTTTCTACTATTTTGATATGACATGCATGAAAGATAAATTTAGAAAGTATGGGAGTAGTAGAAAATTATATTTTTAGAACTTAGAAGACCAATACTACAAAAAATCTATTCGTGCACCGCATTATACTTTTGTCAGGAATAAAGTTCTACATAGACTTATAAGCAATAAAAATTTACTAAATTTGAATTCTCTATAAAAAAAAAATAATGTACTTAAGCTTTCATAAAAAATAATCTAAGCAATAAAAACTCTTTGAAATTGAATTTTTATAAATAAAAATGATCTCCCGAAACTCGCATGAATTAATTTGATTAAATCCGGACCACCCGAAGACTCTAAATACAAAAGCTAAAGTTAAGTAAAACGATAAAAAAAAAATCAAATTTTGGAATAAATAAGCTGCAGTAATAAAAATTTAATAGATTGGATAATCATTTTTTTTTCTATGCTTTAGTTGACCGCTTTTCTACTGAAACGAATATTTCCATAGTCAGTTTAAGTAATAATAAATTAAAAGAAACTTTATCTATACCTGTAAACGCATTCAGCCCTTTAATCAGCTGTGATTGATTATCTATTATTGGTTCTCGGCGTACATTTGCTTTATTCATTTCATTGTTTATTTCGGTGCCATCCACTTCTAAAGTCTCATCAGCACTGCTGTCGTCGTCGTTTTTCGGTGATGCCAGTGGTGGCAACGGAAAAACTTTAGGTGACGACTGTATCGGTATTGCAAGTTCACTTGGACGTTCACAGCCGTTTTTCTTCTCTGACGAAATCAGTGACTGCTGTGTAGTTTTAACTGCTGTCGCTTGATTGCCATCTCCATTAATTTCAGCTAAATATCAAAAACTATTGAAGAAAAAACATCAACTATTCTAATTCCAACAATGTAATATTAATTCTGGCAAAAGTTCTCTAAATCATGTAAATAAACAGTAATGTGCCGCGGATAAAGGCGTTTAACACCAGAAAATTTTCAGTTTTAAACTGACAGTATCAATCAACAAAAAAAAAAATGTAGAAGAATTTTTACCAAATTGATCTGCCACTATTGAGTTTGTTCGATGATTTTTTCGACTAACTCTTGAAATAAACTTTGTCCATGTTCTCCTTCTGAAGTTATTTGCCGAAGCAATTTTGTTGCTTATTTTAACAGACTTACGATAAACTTCCAAATTGTGTTCATTATCATCCTAAATGAGAATTTTTTTAGCGCAGATTCTGCAAGCAAATTTTTCTTCAGTTTTTGACACAGAAAATATAAATCTAGTAGTAAAAACAGTGTTCAGAAAGGCTTACTTTATTAGATTCTCTCAGATGTACAGGGACTGGAGTTAACGACAAATAAGAAAAAAATTTTGTAAGCTTCTGTGCATGAAGGCTTAAACGGATCCCCATGCGACCCCGTTTTTGCACAGCAATTACAATTGTCGAAGCCAAGGTTCCAAGCGATATAATAATTATCATACCCAAAATAAACCAACCTAAAAAATTTGCAATTTTGCCTATCGAGTTGGCAAGTGTTTGAAGTACGCAAGTTTTTACATTTGCCAAGAAACTTGTATACTACAGAAACCTTTACTATGCAACTATAACTTTTGATAGTTTCTTAATCGCTGAACAGTCGCCACCAAAAAAGTAATGCACAAGCTAAACTTTTTGATTAAAAATTTACAAAATTTTGAAAGATATTCTGAAATAAAAGACCCATGTTTTACACTATGCTGGCACTCAAAGCAGGCTTTGGGAATGTTTCTACGAAAGCGATTGTTAAGCAAATGATAAATCAATTGACTAAAGATCTGGTAAAAAACTGTAAATGACCCTACGAACAAAAAGATATTTGCGTGTTTTTGATAGTCTAATTTTCTGGCAAATAAAATAGCTTTTCGTAAAATAATAATTTCCCAAAAAAAAATTGTTTTACATATTTAGTCGGATTCTGAAATTAATATTTTACCAGCTACATTAACCAAGTACCGTTCTTAAGAGCCCACGTCGGTCTTGCAAATTATAAAATACTAAGCAATTAGAATCTGTTTAAACACATCCTTTTATTGTTTTTTTCACAGGTTTTTCTCCTGCTTTTTTAAAATATCACTTCTTTTTATAAGTTCAAAGTTGACCTTAAACCTAATTCAAAATTAAATGTGTCATCTAACGTACAGCTTTTGAATACTTAAGATAATGATTCTGACAAAAACCTATCCGTTACTCAAGACTTATAAATTGCTTCTTTAATTTTAGAAAAAACCTGAAAAAAATTTTTTCTGTTCTTCAAGAATAACGATTTAATTGCTAACTTTTGTTTTACACAGGGATAAAAAAGGTTTTAAAACAAAAGAAAAAATTCGATATTTATCGTTACCAATTAGTGGTATAAATGTCGAAGTGGTTGGCATCTGATCAGATACCATAAGCATCAAAATTGACATCGACAGCAATGTTGTTATTCCCAAAGAAACCTTTTCCTCTCTCATGCCGCTTGCTGACGATGTTCTGAAGCACAGAAGCGTTTAGGTTATTGAAATTGTTGCAACAAATGTTTCTACAGCTTTTTTAATTTAATACGCTCGTCAAAAACAACAAAACTGTATAAGGCTATATTTTAGTTTTGATGTCACAACTATACTGCTGCACAGTGAAATCCGAACACATCAAAATTACTGGTATTTAGCGTCAACAAAAGGAAGGCTCTCAAAAAAAGTTTAAAATTTATGAAATAAACAGAAATTTTGTCAATTCGTCACGTAACTGCGCTATAAATGTACGATTTTTTAAAGTTGTCGACAGTTGTATCTTTTAATTCTCTTTGTCCGGAAAACTTCAGCTTTCTAGACTTTTTAAATCACTTATTGCTCTCTATTGTGAGTTTTAGCAAAATAAAAACATAAGCTTTCAAAAAAAAGTTTTTGTTTTCATACAAATTCTACTTACAAAAATCTTAACACTGCCTGTTTTAAGTGTTAAACAATGTTTTAGACACTCTGTCAAAC